TCCACGATCACGTCGCGCTCGCCGCCCAACGTGGCCCGCAGCAGTTCAGCCAGCGCTCCCACCAGGCGCCGCTGCGCCTCTGAGTCCGCCACGTGCAGAAGCAGCACAGGATGCGGTTGGCCGGGGCCTAGGGAGGCAGCAACAGATGAACAGGGTGGGGGTTAAGGGACAGCTCAGCTCTGTCTTCCTTGGCCTCAGGGCTACATCATAGGGTGCACCCCCAGTGCCTTATCTGCGCTGAGGGTGGGTTCCCAAGGCAACTCTAGTCAATAGGGTGCTTTGGGGGCTATTTAGATCAAAGCACCCTGGAAGGGGTGAGGTGCCAGAATTGGCAGGTGCAGCCCAGACTGGATTTCCGCTCCACTTACCAGTAACCCGGAGACTTGGTACACTGAACCACCCGTACAGAGGGACCTTTGCCCTGCCTTAACCATTCCTGCCCATGAGGGGCCCTGAGGCGCACCCCCTTGGGTAGCAGACAGCTGGGTGCTGCGGCAGGTACATGGCTCTTGGGGAAGGGAGCCTAGGCAGGGAACAGGTGCCGGCAACTAGCCTAGGAGTTGGGCAGGTCTAAATCCCCAAATTATGCCCAAGTGAGCTTACCTGACAGTGGGCGCTGGAGGATGAGAACGAAAACAACTCCCAATAGAGTGGTGAGGGCCAGCAGTGCCAGGATCAATAGTCCCAGGTGTCTATTAGAGACTGAGTCAAGCAAGGTGAGGCCACACTGGGCTCCTCAGTGCCCAACCTTCCTCTTACTCACCCCCCTCTCCCCAAAGAACTCACCATCTGGACACAAGAGGTGCTTCCAGGCAAACTGGACATCTGACCTCCACACCTGAGGGCACAGAGCCCCCCCACCCCGTGAGCCAGGGTATAGTGCCTCCTCCAGGGGAACTTAAATGAAGCATGGAGATGGTGAAAGGGAGGTCCCCTGGATACGGAATTCATCCAGCACAGAACAGGTCAAGAGTGGCAAACTCAAAGAGTAAACTCAAAGTTGGCCAGGGTGTCCATGGGGACCTGGAGGGCACAGGCCCTGGTGGAAGTAATCAGACACCACTGAGCTCTAGCCTGTTGTCACCAGGCCTGAATGTGGACACAGAGAACTAGGTTTTCTGATTTTTTTTTTTTCAAGAGAAGCCAGAAATCAGCTTTTTAAAATATGATGTCTCCCAGTATTTAAATGGTGGTAACAAATTCCAATTTCAAACACCATGTTGTCCAAACCAAACATTTTTGTGGACTGGATTTGGCTTGTCTGCCACCTGTGGAGTAGATGCTAGAGGAGTATGTGTAGAGGGAGGGCAGGATTCCTTACCAGAACACAGGCCCCTGGCCTCAGGAAGGGAATGATGAGCTCTAGTGTCATTGGGCTTGAGCCCTGAGTCTGTTGGAATAAAGAACAAAATGACTGTTCGCACGGAAACAAATCTGGCTCTGAGCCTTTGCCCATGCTGTTCCTCCCCCCTGCCCCCAACCCCCTCCTCCCAATCCGCCCAAGGCTTAAGGCCAAGTGCCACCCCTGGCTTCATTCCTAGATCCCGCTGATCATTCCCAGATCAGAACTGCTGCACAGATACACATTAATCAGTCAGTCAGGTACTCGTCAACAGACATCCTGTGGGTGCCGACTCTGTGCCAAGCCCTGAGGAAAGAAGGCAGGCGCAGATCTTCTCTGTCCTCTGGCAGTTCCCAAACAGGGAGGCTAATAATATGCTGCCCTACTCCTGTCCGGCATACCTGAAGGGGTAGCTTATCTATTGGAAAAAATGTAAGTTGTGGAGTCAGAAGACCACAGCTAACAAAGTCAGGCTTAACTATTGCCTTTGTGGTTCCTAGCTGTGTGGAACCACACATTTGGTTGGAACATTGATCCCTGAGCCTCAGTTTTTTCATTTGTCTGTGAAGGCTAATAATCCTTGGCTTACTGCATTATTGAGCATCACATGGAAATATGCATGGGAACACCCTTTATAATATACAGTGCAGTGTGAATTCATTTAGTAGTAGTAGCTATTATTACACCTGGGACTCCTAGGGCAGAGACTCTGTTATATACTTTTCTTGTATCTTCCAGGGCCTAAGACAGGGTAGGCACAGAATAGGCACTCAATACAAACATGCTGAATTGGACAGAATTGATTGTCATCTGTCTACAGGGAGGATGTGGCTCTGCCCTATGTTCTGGGTGCCGGGTAGGGAGCTGATCAGAATCTCCATACTTTGGGAATACCCTCCCCCCTGCTCCCCCTACCCCACCCTGTCCTATATCATCCCATTGTCTAGTCAGCTGTGAGCAAGTGCTGATGCAGGGGCTCTTAAATCATGGCTGAACTCAGTGAAGGCGGTCTTTTCCCAGCTCACAGAAACAAATGAATCCATGGATTTCGTTCTCAATGTTAGGTTTTCCCACATGACTTTGCCTTACAACTTAATCACGGCTTGGTCTTAAATCTTGAGCATTTGCTACCACCTGCCTGCTTGGGAACCCTCAGAGAATACAAAACAAATAGCTGCCAAGTGAGTATTTAAGAAAGAACTTGAAAGGGCTACTCATGCTTAGTCAGCTTGGGGCTGTGGTTTTGAAGATATATTTGATTATGGTTTTTATATCAGATACACAGAAGAAAGTCTACTAGTCAATTGATCTTAGTTCACATAATAGAGTTAAGTCTGTGAGTAGTTTACAATCTTCCAGCGCCTCTGTCTCCCAAGATAGTGAGAGACTACTTCTGCCAGGTGCCTGGTGGAGGAAGGCAGGAGCACAGTGGTAGAGGACAGCTGAGTTTGAGAGGGTATCAGTATAACCTGGGGCAGCAGTTTGAGTCAGCCAGAGGAGAGCTGGGTATGAGAAGGACAATCCTTTGCCCCTGTTTATCCTTGTAAATTCAGAAACTGAAAGGATTAGAAACTGCCCCATGGAAACCCCGCTGATGGGCAGAAGGAACCAGCTGAACAAAGCCTGATCAAGTAAATAAATAACTAGATGTTGTAAGTCAGGAATTGGCTTGCCTCCACCTGCTGTGCTCTGAGCAACAGGACCTGGCGGGGGCCAAGGGCTGGCGAGGTCATACCTGGCTGATGCTGTACACAGGGGGCAGCAGGCTGTCCCGCCCCATGTCTGGGCGGCTCCAGGCAGCACTGAAGGTGGCATGCATCCTTGTGGAGAAGTGAAGGATCAGCTGCTGGGCCTGGGTGTCCATGCTCACATTCCAGGATGGGGCTGCCGGGGAGTGGGGAAAAGGGTGTCATGTGAGAAATCCTTTTGGCAGGAGGTGATAGGAGGAGCTGGGCTAGTAAACAGAGAAGTCAAGACAGGGCTAGAGTTTGGCTTGGCCACATTTGGGTGAGGGTGAAATGGTGGGAGGGGTTCCACTTATTGGCTCACCAGTCTGATGGGGACATTCAATGTGGCTGCTGTTTCCAAAAGAGAACTAAGAAATACAAGAATGGCGGGTCAGAAAGTGCCAGGCACCATCCATACCCCTACCCATCCCCTCTCACTCACGTTTGTACCTTGAAACAGAGCTGGGGGTGCAAGTCCACCTTCTCCAAAACATACCACTGTGGTGGGAGAAGGGGGTTAGCCCGGGAGCAGGGCCCTGGGCCCCAGCCCTGCCCACCCAGGTCCTGGGGAGGCCTATCTCACCCCCTCTGACTCTCGAGCTGTGGCATTGGGGAGGTCTTCACAGAGGGTGTTTCCGCCCTGCCTCTGGCAGAGGGAGGCTTCCAGCTTCAGTGGGCAGCGGAGTGTTGGGGCCATGACCATCTGACTATGCTGGCTGTAGTCGGTAAAGTTCACTGACTTCCAAAAGTCCGAGCCATCTGGGCAGACAGCAGGGCAGAGAGTGAGGCCTGGGGAGGCTTGAACCCTGCTTTGGCCTCGTTTGGCCACCCCCATCCCCAGGGCGTCAGGAGATGATATTTGTAAAGGTGTTCAGCACAGTTCCTGCTCCGTCTAGGAGCCCCAAAGATGAGCACACCTTTTCCAGCCCCTTGTTATTACCTTTTCTATTTACTCCTTCTTGCACCTCCATTCTGGCTAGCTCTTTGATACTCCCCAAACTCCAAATCTTTTTATTTTTGCTAAGGTTCCTCTCAAAACCAGGAATGCCTTCCCCTCCCTTCTTTCCTTTCTAAGTCCTGCTCGTTTTCTGGTGCAGCTCAGGTGTCACCTCCTCTGAGAGACCGTCTCTTGCTGATGACAGCCTTCACTGGCTTCTCCCTTTCCGGAGTTCATGTCCCAAAGGCTAGTCCTTACGTGTAACCCTGCCCTGGACTGCAGGCTGCTTTGTGCTGTTCGTTTGTTATGTTTGAGCATCCTGTCTCTTCAGCTTGGAGACAACAAAGTGTGGACAGCACCTTAGATGTCACCAACCACTTTCACTTATCATAGTGAAGTCAAGCCTCATAAACAGTTGGAAAGTAAGACAGGGCAAGTATAGTTATTTTACAGATGAGGAAACTGAGTCTCAGAGAAGAATAAGTGGCAGAGCTGGGATGTGAGTGAGCCCAGCTCTTCTGGTCCATCCTCCATATACCAACTCCTGTGTGCCTAGTACAACTTCCCACAGTGCCTACTACAATGTTCAACGCTCTGATTTATTGGCAGGCTGAGCAGTGGACATAGTACCCTTTTCTCCCACTGACTCCAGGGAAAATGCCTGCATGCCTTCTAGGGGCTTCCTCCAACACAGTTGGGAAGTGTGTGCGTGTATGCGTGAAAGAGAGACAAAGAGAGGCTGTGCGTGCACAAGAATGCATATGAGTAGCACTCACAGGCTTCAGGCCAGCTCTGGAAGGGACATTTTTTGCGCCTCACTGTATCCTCTTGCAGGTAGGATGCCTGGGGGGACAAGCAGAGAAGGTCAGACCTGAAACTCATTCTGGCTTGCCCTTGCTCTTGCCCTACTGCAAGCTGCCTGAGCTGGCAGGGCACTGAGGAGGGGAAGCAGTGCAGGGTGTAGGCAAGGGTAAGTGGTGCCTGAAGCTGGGGGAGGAACTCCAGAGTATAGGAGTGAGATCAGCTAATGAGGGGCTGAGTCCTCTTGCCCCCGGAGAGGAGAACCTATCCCCAGAAAGAGGCAGATTGTGATGTCCACATCTCTGTCTACACCCCCACTCTCAGTGCTTCCCAAGGTGCCTAGTGCCCTGTATGGGTCCCTCCATCTGGGTTGCCCAAACGCCCAATGGTTGTCCACCCTGGCAGATGCTCAGTGCTCCAAGTCTCTGCCTGCATCCTCCCTTTAGTTTCCTCCTGGATGACAAGGCCCCTGCCTTTTCTGTCTAATCCAAAGAAGTCTTAATGTTAGGCACTTCAGAATTATGGAGAGGACTGCCATGAAGGGCTAGTGGGGACAAGACTTTTGAGGCCATATGGAATCTTGCAATGGCCACGTGCCCCCACCATGACTGATCAGCACACACAGTGAAGGGAGCTGCCTATTCCGCCTCAGGGGGCTGAATCCAGGTCTGGACCAAGGAAAGCTGGGTTTGGGTGGAGCTGAGGTTGGAATCACCCCCAAGAATCTCATGTTCAGCAGGACACTTCCATCTCTGACCCAGTGTGTGGCTCACAGTCAAGCTGGCACCTGTCTTCCTAAACACCTTGTTAACACCCATTCCTTTAAAAACCCGACTTACTGGAGATATGTTTGACCAACTGCACTATCTGGGGACCTAGGAGTGGGGCCATGGACAACCCCCACCTTTTTCTTTACTCACCTCTATGCACAGACAGGGCAGAAGGAATTCATAAGGCAGGTCTACAGTGTGGCCCCTAGACACGGTTTTCTGTTGACGAAGCAGGAAAGGGAGAGAAAGATGCTTGAGAAAGAGTACAGGCACCCTGGCCGAGGGTAGGAGGAAGCTGGGACCTTATTTTTTCTCTTATGTGAAACTTAATTTTTTCATCGACAAATTTCCTCCCAAGGGGTCTCTGTTCTGTACTCTGACCACTTTCTCTAGGTGTCTCGATATAGGGCGGGGTAAAAGTAGGTTTACAGATATTTGTATGGGAAATAATACAATAATTAATAAATAATAATACAAGAATAAGCTCTGTGTTTCACATATTCACTACAGTAAACCTACTTTTGCGCCACCCTGTATATGGAGTCGGGGGAGGGAGGACACAGGGAAAGGGATATACATTTAATGAGCCCCGCTGGATGCCATGTAGGGTGCGAGGTGCTAAAGCAATAACTCAAGGAAATGCTAGCACTGCAGTGATCTTGGGAGGTGCATCACCACTTTATAATAAGGAGGGCTGAGGGCCTCGGCGGTGCAGCATCAGTCTCTGCAAATGGTACCAACTGTACACAAGGGCCTCAGTGACAACTGGAGGTTGAGATGGTGTGTCAAGACCTGCGCTGGGAAAATGAGGGTCATCTCATTTTCTAAGGAAGGCCACAAAGGGAGGGAAATGGAAGGGAACCAGGACAGATGAGACCACTTTGTTATTTTCTCAGGGAAAACAACTTCTCGAAGGAACTGAAAAGGTTTCTTAATATAATCTGAATCTCACTGGGCTCCTCTCATGTGGGTAAATACCATGTTCATTTCTCTGCTAGTCATTCCCAGTTGCACCAGGTCTCTGCATGCCCTTTCCTTTCCTCTCCTCCCACGTGACAAGGCGCCTGCATTTTCTGTCTAGTCCAAAGAAATCTTAATGCTAGGCACTTCGGACTTGTGGGTTTTGGAGAATTGTCTTCCCTCCCTGGACCTCAGGCTCCCTGTATGTACAATGGGTGGGCTGTTTTTGTTCCAGCACTGTGTGATTGGCTTTTTACAGGAAAATGACACTCCATACCTGGACATCAAAGGGACTGCTCAGCTCTTCGCACTCTAGTGCCCACTGGTGACAAAGACGCACGCTGACCTCAGGGTCTGAGGGAATGCTCACTCGAATAGCCCGTGCCTCAGGCAGCAAGTCAAAGGAGAACTCAGGCCCTGGGGAGAAGGGGGACTTGGTGGCCTTGTCTCTTGGCTTTAGCGAAGGCACCACTACTTGACTGTGCCTATCTCCAGTCACACCCCATGTCTACCTTTATGCCTTTGTGAGTCCTGCCTCGGGAGACCTTCCACTGCCTCTGGATCTGAAGGTTGGGTCCTTTTGAAGCGAAGCCCATTTTGGGAGATGTCTGGGGAGGGGACGGAGATTTGATGGTCCTTCTCAGACAGGCAACAGTGAGTCAGAAGCTTCCTCTGTAGGCAGAGAGCAAGGTTGGCCTTAAGCCAGGAATCAGGATCTCTGGCTTCTATTTCTCCCTCTGGAACCTGGGGTACCACAGGTAAGTTGCTCAACATTTAGGCCTCAGTTTCCCTAACTGTGTAATGGAAGAATAGTCTACTTCATCTCCATACTTTCCATCTCTCACAGGGCTGGAGAACAAAATGAGAGGCCAGAAAGGAAAGGGGCACAGGGCAGGGCTGGAACTGGCAGGGAGAGTACCTGAGCAGATGCTAGCATCCTGTGTCTCCTACAGAACTGGAACATGTAAGACTTTTTGGATTTCTGCACCAGGCGGTGGAACCAGCTCCGTTGAAGGTCTGCACAGGAAAGGGCACATTTAACATCTAACCCTTTTCTGCCTCTTCCCTACCTGGAGATGATGGCCCAGTGTTGGAGAGTTAGTCATTTTAGATCAGGGAGGGTAATGACATCAAGCCTCTTTAGTCCTGAAAGTTATGCTACAATAAAAAATGGATTAATTTCTTGGCCTGGTCAGGAAGCTCAATTGGTTAGAGCATTGTACCAATACACTAAGGTTGCGGGTTCAATCTCCAGTTAAGGCACATACAAGAAGCAACCAATGAATACATAAATAAGAGAACACAAATCAATGTTTCTCTCTTTCTCTCTCTCTCTCTTTCATTCTCTCTCTCCCTTCCTCTCTTTCTAAAATCAGTAAATAAAAATTTTTAATGATTTATTTCTTAAGTAGAGAAAAAGAGAACATCTTAAAGATGTTCACTGTAGCCCAGCCGGCATGGCTCAGCAGTTGAGCATTGACCTATGAATCAGGAGGTCATGGTTCGATTCCTGGTCAGGGCACATGCCTGGGTTGCAGGTTCAATTCCCAGTGTGGGGTGTGCAGGAGGCAGCCGATCAATGATTCTCTCTCATCATTGATATTTCTTTCTCTCTCTCCCTCTCCCTTCCTCTCTGAAATCAATAAAAAAAATTTTTTAAAGATATTTATTGTAGTATTATTTATAACAGTGAAAAATTACAAACTGCCCATTCTTAAGCAGAGTATGGGCATTTAGTATATATCAAGCACTGAGCTAGGCAATAAAAATACAGAGTTAAATAAGAAGGATCTTACTTTACAAATAGAAGATATCAATAATAAATTTCTAGAACTGACATTTTAATTCCAACAATTGGTGCCAGCTGAAAAGAGAAACATCCCAAAATGATACCAATGAACTCACTAATATCAGTCGCACTGGCATCAACCTCCCCACCCCCAAATGTCCCCAATTCACATCTCCATTGAGAATGGCCCAAGGGCTATTTCTCATACCTGAAGGAGTTGACACCAGGTGCAGGCACAAACAGCAGGGGCAGCACCAGAGCCAAGCACCCCGGGTATGTGGCAGGGTATGGCAAGGAATATGGGCAGATCTTTCTGCAAAAGGTGGAAAAAAAAAAGTGGTAGGGTTCAAGGACATCTCTCCTGCTTCAGACAAGAAGGACTTGAGGCTGAGCTCTGCCACTTACATCCTGGCTCTGCGACTTTGGGCAAGTTACGGACCCCTCTGAGCCTCAACTTTACCATTCACAAAGTGGGGCTGTTATCAAGATCAAGTAAGATAATGTGTGAGAAAATATGAACGTCATTTTATTACTGACAGTTAAGGGGGGGTTGTGCCTGGAGATTTACAGGTCTCTCATTTAATCCTCCCACAGCTCAGGGGCAACAGTCTTCATTGTACAATCATTTCTACTGTTCTGGTAGACCCCTCAGAAACCGAGGGTCGGAGGGCGTAAGTGTACTGACTGCAGCCACACATGGAGTATTTGGCAGAATGGTAATGCAAACCTAGACTTGTCCTGATTCTAAACCCTGTGCTTTTTCCTTACTCCTATGCTACTTCCCAGGCTGTGAACCAAAAAGTAGGATGCAAGCCTCACTGGGGATCTAGAACTAAAGGGGTGTGGGGACCCTGGCCGGTGTTGCTCAGTGGATAGAGTGTTGGCCTATGCACCGAAGGGTCTCGGGTTCAATTCCTGGTCAAGGGCACATACTTGGGTTGCAGGTTCAATCCCCAGCCCTGGTCAGGGCACCTGCAGGAGGCAACCAATCCATGTGTCTCTCTCACATCTCTCTCTCTCTCCCCCTTCCCTTCCACTCTCTCTAAAAATCAATGGGGGTGGGGGAAGGGTGTGGGGAAGAGAAGCAGGGCAGGGAATGAGACTTACCAGTGAAACTGTCATCCTGAAGGCACAGGGCCCAGTAGTGGAGGGAAAAAAGGAGAGAAGTATAATTAGGAGGGATTCTCACAAGGAGCACTCTTCTTGGGGTCTTTGCCTCAAATCACCTAATTCTGAGGCCCAGAAGCTAACAGCCCATCCCTTGTGGCTTTTTTCTTCCCAGCTCCACCCTGCCCAGGTCCTCAGGCCACTAAGACCCCTTTGAGATTGTGTAGAGGGCATACTGAGACTGCCATCAGAGCACATGGATTTGGGGAGGTGGAAAAGGACAGACAGGAGAGTGGAGAGCTTTGCCAGCCTGTGCCAGGCAGATATCCCCACCCGGTAATGGCACCTTACCATGTGGGAGACCAGCAGACGGCAGGTAGTCCAGTGGGGCAGACAGGGACAGCCAATCCCAGCAGAGGCAGAGACGCCAATGAGCAGCAGGCTGAGAGGCAGGAGCAGGGCTGCCAGTCTGGGGTGCCCCATGGACTTTCGTTGGGTCAGGGCACCCAGAACATAGCTGCACGGCCTGAAGGTGGGTGGCAGGACTTTGCAGTACAGCAACAGGGAGCACAATGCCAGTAGGAACCCTCGCCTCAGCCTGCCCTTGCCCCGCCCAGCCCCAAAGCTCCTCCTTGATCCTAACCAGCAGGCCAAGCCACATTCCTTCTCCTCCAAGCAGAGGGACTGAGGGATGCTTGCCCCCCAGAAAACCCTACTGTCTCCGACTGGAGGGCAAGGAGCGCATTTCAACTGCTCTGGCAGAGAAATAGCAGGAAAGAGGCCAGCACAGGGTTAGGAAATGGTCGGCTGCACCCATTTCTTAACCCCTCCTACTCCTGCAACACCCTAGATCCTACACGCCCGTTAACTAGCTCTTGACTTTGATCCCCTCTAGACATATGCTTCATCCCCTCACTTAGAGAATTGACAGAGCTATTAAACACTACTCTGCATTGGATGCCAAAGACAGAGGTGACTGGCACACCATTTGGAGTTGCGCAGAACAGTAAGAAAGCACTAAAGGCTGCACATAAGCATCACATGACTCCATATGCAGCTGGTTCCCCACCTGGCTGACTCTCAGGACTACAGCTCAGTTTTCTCTAGTCAGTTCCAGCTTTTCTGGACACAGGGCTCCATGCCAATGGGGACTTTGGCTTCAAAGGATCCACTACTCAGTACAGTCTGCTCAAGAAGCCACAGAGCTCACAGCAGAGCCCTGGAGCTAAGGGAGCGGGCCCCACACACTGACCTGGTTTCTTGTGGTTTCTGATAATGCTGACGAGGCTCCAGTCTTTGTTGGGACCCTCCCCATCATCCCACAGCTTCCTCCCGCTCATGGAGCATTTGATCTGCTTCAGCCCTCTTCTTGGTGACGCACACAGTGGAAAGAAAGTTTGGGGCACACCTACTGGGTTAAGGCACCTTGAAATTGTTACTGTCACTCTGCACCTTTCGGTAGACTGACCATAGCTTTCTTTAGGCCAATTCTAGTTTCTAAGTCATCAGGTCCATTGTCTGAAGATCCCATCCTACCTATTATCCTAAAAATGCCCTCTAGCTTTTGAGTTCCTTAAAAGATAAAGACCCTTTCTTATTCTTCATGTTTCTCCAGTGCCTAGGGTGGGTGTCATGAAATAGGTGCTGTCATTGAATAAATGTAAATTACGATAGCAGTTTATCCGTTTCACATTTCACAAAGTACTTTGATACTTGATCCTCGTAACTACATTATAAGTCAGGTGGGAATTGTTTTCATTTCACAAAGATAAGCAAGCAGGAAGGAACATTATTTGGTCAAAGTCCAGGTCTCCAGCTTTGGGAGCTCCACTTCTGCCAGCCTCTCACAGGTCAGTTCCCTTACGGTCCCCCTCCCACTGCCTCATCTCCCTCTGCTTCTGGGAAGCCTGAAGGGCCTGCCTGAAACAGTTCTGTCTTTTGGCCTTGGAGCCCATCACTGCAGACAAATGAGTAAGATGTGAAGTGAGGAAAGGGTGGTCTGGCCATCCTAAGGATTAGTTAGGGAGTCTTCTGCCTAAATTGTTATCTAACTCACAGTGGTTCAGATCTACATAGATTATGCATTTACACTATAGTTAGATTTTATTATTGTTATTATGGGAGCAGAGGGACAGGAATGTACACTCACACAGTCCATGCCACCCACAACTGGCCAGCTTGCAAGAGTAGCTGCAGCTTTCTTGTAGATTATACTGTAGAACAAGGGGTGAGTCCCACTCCTTCACCGAATTCCCAGACAAGCCAAAACTGTTCCGGGCTCATTTGGGGAAGAGAGTTCATTAACTTGAATATTAGCAAGTTACACCAAGGACTCTGCTCCCCAAAAATGCAAAATCAGAACACTGTAGCCCACAAGAAGTTTATTGAGTCTTCAAGACACTATACAATGTTGACTCCTCTCCCAGAGAAGGGTCTTTCAGAGGCAGGGAACCATCCTCCAGATGAGTTGCTCCTTTGTCATTTCCATAGGCAGCTGGATTTTTCCTCTTGGATTTCTCAAACTCCTCGGTCCCCCATGTGTGGACAAGATAAAATGCTACAAATGGCCATACGACGCCAAGGATGGACGCCTGAATGCTTGCTGCACAGCCCGTTGGGGATGCCTTGCTGAAGTAGTGCGGGAAGGTGCACTACTTGAAGGGCGACAAGTTGTAAGTGATCACATGTCTCATCATGTCAGCTTCCCAAACTGGGGCCCACGGTGGCAGTGGAGGAGCCTAAGGTCACCTCACCCTGCAGCAATCGTGCATCTTTCAATGCTGGGTACATGAAATGAGAAACTTGGTTCTGTTCTTTAACACTTCTCTTTTCTTTTTAATATATTTTTATTGATTTTAGAGAGGAAGGGAGAGGGAGAGATAGAGACATCAATGATGAGAATCATTGATCAACTGCCTCCTGCACACCCCCTACTGGGGATCGAGCCTGCAACCCAGGCATATGCCCTTGACCAGAATCAAACCCAGACCCTTCAGTCCACAGGCCAACGCTCTATCCAGAGCCAAGCCAGCTAGGGCTATACTTCTCTTTTCTTGATCCCTTTCAGGGCTGGGGAACTTTTTTCTGCCAAGGGCCATTTGGGAAAATTTTAAGAAAACTGGGAAAACATGAAACCCACTTGGGGATTCATAAAAGGTTCTGCTAAGATAGTGTGTGGTGAGAGTATTGGGAGATAATACAGGACTACTGCATTGAGACCACACTTTGGAAAATCTCTGAGATTAAGAATTTTGGTTGTTCAAAAATGAATGGCACATAGTAGGGACTTATGATGATGATCTAGAGCTGTGCTCTCTTGCATATAGGGATGCAGGAAGATGAATGAATATGAGGTAGAAGGCAAAGAGTTAAGTTTGATGTAATAATCAGGACATCTAGAGGAAGAGATTTTGCAGTCAGATAGTACTCCCAGTACTTAATAGTGACTGAGTACATACCTAATGTTTATAGAACAAAAGAATGACTAGAACTCTGGAGAGGAAAGAGATCTGCAGTTATCCATCCAGAGACATAAAGTCAAATGGATGAGTAAAGGGACCCTAGCCAGTATGGCTCAGTTGGTTGGACTGTCATACCATACACCAAAAGGTTATGAATTCAATTCCCAGTCAGGGCACATACCTAAGTTCTGGGTTCAGTCCCAGGATGGGGCACATAAGAGAGCCAGCCAATCGATGTTTCTCTTTTTCTTTAAAAATCAATAAACATAACATTGGGTGAAGATTAAAAAATATCTATATCTCTATACATTTATATATCTATATCTAAAGGGACACACATCTTCCATGTAGTATTTACTGTCACTTTTAAGCATGAAAGAGCCTTTAGTTCACATATCTCGTTTGTTGTTGTTTTTTAATATTTTTTTTATTGATTTCAGAGAGGAAGAGAGACAGAAACATTAATGATGAGAGAGAAACATTGATAAGCTGCTCCCTGCACGCCCCCTACTGGGGAATGAGCCTGCAAACTGGGCATGTTTCCTTGACCGGAATCGAACCCGGGACCCTTCAGTCCATAGTCTGACACTCTATCCACTGAGCCAAACCAGCTAGGGCTACATATCTCTTTTCACTTCTATTTTTAACTTATCTGCTCCATACCATTCAAATGTTGTTTCACATTTGTATCATGTTTCACCTAGGTTGCACATTTCCTGTGTGCAGGAATACTTTTGAATTATTGTGGATACCATAATATAGTACAGTAGTCCCCCTTTATCTATAGTTTCACTTTCTGTGGTTTCAGTTACCTACAGTTAATCTCAGTCCAAAAATATTAAATGGAAAATTCCAGAAATACATAATTCAGAAATTGAAACTGTGTTCTGAATAGCATGATGAAATCTCGAAGAGACCACGTTCACATAACTTTTATTACAGTATATTGATAATTATTCGTTTATTACTGTTGCTAATACCTTACTGTGCCTAATTTACAAATTAAACTTTACCATACGTAGGTATGTAGAGGAAAAACACAGTATATATAGGGTTTGGCACTATCTAAGGCTTCAAGCAGCCACTGGGGAATCTTGGAACGTATCCCCCATAGATAAGGGGGACTACTGTATCAGACACGTAACTGACACTGTACACTGAATAATAAACATGAATATACAACCAAAAGAAGACTGCATAACCCCAGCTGGATAAGTGAGAAGGGATCATCTGATAGGTGGAGAGATTAAATGTATGGCCCATAATAGTTCCTGCTAATCAGCTACCGGGTGGCAACTAATGACTTAAGTTCCTTCTCTATGGCCACTGCCAGGTTTCTCCGGGAGTTTCCATCTATCTCCTAGTGTCTAAAGCCACTCATGCAACGCACCATTCACACTGGTAAATCCCAAGCACAAGGCGCAGGGTAGACAGGGCAGTTATAACTTTATTGAGGTTCTTTGTAATTAAAATGCTTCAGAGTAGAGACCACAGTCTGCAGGGAAAGCAGCCTCCCAATGTTTCCTTCCAACCACCCATAAATGGAAGTAGAATTTGGTTGATTCCTCATCTCCAGTTTCAGTGGCTAAGGGGTAATGGATGGAAATGGAGAGAATGACTAAGAGGCAAGGATGAGGGTCGGTCTTAAAACAGAAAAATCCTGAAGGGCTTCAACTTAAACCAGCCGAAGTTTGTTTTACTGCTGTTCTTCACCCAGTTCCAGCCAACCAGGAATAAGTTAAATATCATTTTGCCACCTCAGCTAATGACAACAGTAGCAGCTTTCCAGAATCTGAGCCTAGTTTGCACCAGTTGCCAACACCACAGCTGCCAAAATGACAACGGAGATTTTAGAACAGCTCTTCTACCCTCTCACTCTTCTCCACGGGAGGGCTAGGCTTCACCCCAGGGATCAGTCCATCCGGCAGCCTTCATTTCCGCTTCTTCTCCTGTGTGCTGGTGAACCAAGAGTCTAGGAGCTTCTTGCTGTAGTGTAACTGCCAGGCATGCACTTGAACTGCCAGCACCAACACCAGGTACATGGCGGAGACGGCAGAAAACCCAAAGAGGAAGCGGTAGGCCTTGCCGTGGTGACAGAGCTGCTGTGCGGCAGGGAACATCTCCATGCTGCCGTAAATGAGGGGGGCGATGGAAAAGAGCCCCATGCTGATCATGGAGAGCACCAGGTAGCTAATGTTGTTGCGGGGGAAGGAGAGGAGACCCAAGAGGGAGGGCACAATACTCAGCAAATATGGGTACTCCCACTGATAGGGCATGGCCACCTGATCATTTGACAACAGCCTCAGGTGTCCCACGCTCATCTTGGCAACCAGCAGCAGCCATAGGACCAGATGAACGTAGATCAGCTTCTTGATTTCATACTTGAGGGTCACACTGTGGGGCAGAGCAGAGGGAGAAGTTCCTTTCATTCAAAATTTTCTGACCAACTATATGCCAGGCAAGTATACTGGACAATAGAATCTGAATGTGAATAGGATCTAGTTCCTGCCTAGAGGCTGGGCACAAGGACAGAAGAAAAATTACTAGCAAACGAACTGGAAGAGCTCTAGTAAATATATGTTGCAAGATACATGGATCCCAAAAAGCAGTAATCAATTCTGCGTGGGAGGGGACATCTGAGAAGGCCATTTAGAGGGTGATATTTGAGCTCGGCTCTGAGGGATGAAAGGAGATGGGCGTTCCGAATTGCACGCAGGCAGAAAAACACAGGCATTTGTGTTCCAAGAAAGCCAGTGGTTGGGTATGGCAGGAATACATCCTAGGTGGGGAGGGGAGTAGCAGGGTATGAAACTGCAATGCCTATGAACAGTCGGTTTAAAGGCAGAAGAGTAACTGGGTTGTGTTTAGAAAGATGACTGACTGCACCCTGGGAGTATAGCACAGAGGAAGGAGGTATGGGCAGTGAGGAGACCAGCTCAGGCTGCTCATCCTTCTCCTGCTAGAATAGACGGTTTCACTGAACGAAGTACATTATTTCTTATTCTTCTAACTCTCTCGGGTCCTAAATGTATCTTCTTCGCATCCTGGAGGACAGTCTCTGCTCTCCACGGGAGTCAAAATACTTGCTTGGGCTGGGAGGTGCCCTTAGGCAGGGATCTTAAGAACAAGAATGGAGTGAGGGTCCAACGAGCTGGTCGTTATTTAAAACTCTGGAGAGGAAGATGCAAAAGCATTCTGGAAGCGTTAAATGGATTTAAGGGGGGAAAATCTTTTTAAGTTTTTTATTTTAAAAATATTCATTATAGAAAGTGTGAAAAGGTAGGAAAGCCAGTCATCTCTCGACTGCAAGATTCATGAAAACAGGAACCAGTTTTTTTTTGTTTTGTTTTGTTAATAGGCTTTTTTATTGAAGGTGTAATATGCATACAAAGACCAGGTCTGCTTTTGCTCACTGTATCTTCAGTGCCTAGCATAAAATGCCAACTGGGTAGGAGCTCAGTAAATGCTGACGGGGTAATGTAGAAATACCCCTTACGTGGGGGTGTTTATAAAATTCATTTTAGGCAGGGAAAGGCTGGCTTTTACGGTCTACATCCCCCCAAATGCATCAGCTACCATGTACTGGGCAGGCTCGATTCTGTGCTAGAACTTAGGCTACGCTCTTTACACGAATCATTAGCTCACTAATTCTTCACCCAGCCCTTAAAGGTAGATTCTTTTTTCCCTCTTGCAAGTGAGGAAACTGAGGCTCAACTAGAAATGAGGTTCCCAAGATCACACAGCCGGGCCGGCATCACCACCCCTGGCGTCCAGGGGGGTCTGCACCCTCCCAAGGCACCGGGTGGACCAAGGGATGGACCCATGGGAGCGACTGGGCTTTCCGGGACTGGGGACAGGCCCCGGGACAGGGGGACTTGGCAGGTGAGCGTGGACTGGCTGGGGAGGAGGAGCCCGAGACCGGGGGCGTCGCTTCCCAGGCCCGGCGGGCTCCGGCCGGGAGAAGGCCTGTGTGCGCCTCGCCTCGCTTCATACCTCATCTGGTAGTGCATGGCGACGCGCTCCCGGTGCTGAAAGTCGCTGACGTCAGTG